CTAATTAGGCCTGACCCCCCCCCCCCCAGTGGCTCCACAGATGGCCTGACCTCTTAAAGTGGCAGGCACAATAAGTGCACTGCCCAACCAACACTGAACTTAACCATAAAACACATGGCCCATATTGGGCAAACATGCTGATTTGACCCTACCACAAGGATAGGTTAGTGCAACCCAACTGAATAAGGTATATGGTAGTGCCCACTGAGCACAGTCCCCCTCAACACTGACTCTTTTTCAAGTCATGGCTAGCCACTACACTGAATACATTTTGACTTCCTCTTCACTCCCACAGCTGAGTTCTGCTTTTAATGCCTGGCAAACATCAGCTTCATACAGTTCACCCAGAATGCCTCTGCCCCCTCCTCTCTCAGTTTGTTTCATATGATTAGTGTGGTCTCACATTCCATGAGGTACAGCCAAACCAGGTTGCCCTGCACCTCATCTACATATACATTTTTGGAGGGTCTCAGGCTTCATGACAAAAACACTTCTAGTCATGAGTAGGGGACTAATTAGCATATGGATCCTTGTGTCGCGGGGAGGGGTAATCTAGAGTACACAAACATACCGAGCAACACTGAGCTATGAGGTCACCATGGCTTTAAAAGCTGCTGACTCTGCTGGGGTCCAGGCCAACGACCTATACGGTAAATCATGAGCCTTTTTGGCTTTGGGTTAATACCATGGATAGTTTGGTACAAAAGTGTATGTACAAAAGTGTTTCTAAAAAGTGCATTTCTGGAGGACCTGTCTTAACATTTGCAGCAGTTAAAAAAAAAAGGAGGTAAAATAGATCAAATCTGCATGAACTAAGTGTGTGGGTACATGTAATAATATGTCTAGATGTGAATTAATACATGTATGTTTATTTTAAATTTGCCCCTCACTTCCATGTGCTCAGGGAGAACAGGGTCTTACAGCGTGGAAGAGAGAAAGGGACTGCAGGGGGCAGAAGCTGACAGGGACAGAGAGCAAAAAGGCTACCTGACCCTCCAAATTTATTTTCCCTGCTGTAGCAGTGAGAGGGGGACAAATTCAAGGCAAACCTCTAATAATTAGATTCAATACCTGGAAAATAATAACAAATTTATATATTTTTCCATATATAGAATCTAATTATTTGGGCATTGTCTTGTATTAAAATAAATATGGTAATAGCCAGTTTATATCTGTATATATGTTATCTTCCTTCCAAAAAGATTGATATCAGCTTTTACTTTTAAAGTAAAGAAACAAGCATTTCATGTTCTGATTGTTTCTGAGAGAACAACAAACAAATATTTCCACCAATGATACATTAATAAATTTAAAGCTGTTCTTGACTTAAACGTGTATTTGTTCTTACAGGCACGTTTCTAGCTGAGATGATCGAAAAATATTTTGTGTCCCCCACCTTGTTAAGAGTCATCTGACTTGCCAGAACTGGTCAAATCCTGCGATTAATAAAGGCAGATAAAGGGATTTGGACTTTGCTCTTTGCAAAAAGCTAATTTTCTGTATAAATTTATATATTTCATATAAGTAGTTTGATTTGATTACATTGTAATCTATCGCCAACAACTATAAACAGGGCTCTTCTTTCCAATTAATCTATATTACTTTTATTATAAGTAAAACAGAACGATATTCCTCAGACCTCAATATCTATGATATTGAGATAATACAAATAGGCTGGCCAAGTGCATTTTATAATACTCCTGTTCAGGAGTATTCTGTCCTAGGAAAAACACACACACGCGCACGTGTGCGCGCGCACGCTAAAATATCGGGTGATTGCACCCGAAAACTTCCTAAGAGCTTTTTTCCAACTACTCAGTTGATCTAATAAAAGTTATCACATCTACTCAAAGAACCTTGCCAGCTAAAATATATGCATTTCTTTTGCTCAGTTTGCATGGTATTGTAGAGTGCTGTAAAACTTTTGGGTTTTGGTTTTTTGGGGTTTTTTTGCTGATTTTCATACTGTGAATGTTTTGTTCAATTAACTGAATAGTGACAATACAAACTACTGCAATTTTGTTATAGTTTGCTATAGTATACTACAAGTTTGCTATATTCCTCTACGGTCAGCCTGAATATGCTAGTATAAATATCCAGTAGCTGTTTTTTAAATTAATGGCCTATTTGACTAAACTTAATTTATTTTTTAACAGGAATGTTTCTAGCTGAATTGATCGAAAAATATTTTGTGTCCCCCACCTTGTTCAGAGTCATCCGACTCGCCAGAATTGGTCGAATCCTACGACTCATTAAGGGAGCTAAAGGGATTCGCACTTTGCTCTTTGCTTTGATGATGTCTCTTCCTGCTTTGTTTAACATTGGCCTCCTGCTCTTCCTGGTCATGTTTATTTACGCAATATTTGGGATGTCCAACTTTGCCTATGTTAAGAGGGAAGTTGGGATCGATGACATGTTCAACTTTGAAACTTTTGGCAACAGCATGATCTGCCTATTTCAAATTACCACATCCGCTGGTTGGGATGGCTTGTTAGCACCAATTCTTAACAGTGGGGAACCAGACTGTGACCCACATAAAGATCACCCTGGAAGCTCTGTTAAAGGAGACTGTGGTAACCCTTCAGTTGGGATTTTCTTTTTTGTCAGTTACATTATCATATCATTTCTAGTTGTAGTAAACATGTATATTGCTGTGATTTTGGAGAACTTCAGTGTTGCAACTGAAGAAAGTGCTGAGCCCTTAAGTGAGGATGACTTTGAGATGTTCTATGAGGTTTGGGAAAAGTTTGACCCAGATGCAACCCAGTTCATAGAATATAGTAAACTGTCTGATTTTGCAGCTTCACTGGATCCTCCTCTTCTTATAGCAAAGCCCAACAAAGTCCAGCTTATTGCAATGGATCTGCCCATGGTAAGTGGTGACAGAATTCATTGCCTGGACATCTTGTTTGCTTTTACAAAGCGTGTTTTGGGTGAAAGTGGGGAGATGGATGCACTTCGAATACAAATGGAAGACAGGTTTATGGCAGCCAATCCTTCTAAAGTCTCCTATGAACCAATTACAACTACATTAAAAAGAAAGCAAGAGGAGGTTTCTGCTACTGTTATTCAGCGAGCTTACAGACGGCACCTTTTAAGGCAAAAAGTTAAAAAAGTTTCTAGTCTGATTAAAAAAGATAAAAACAAAGAAGGAGATGGACTACCTATCAAGGATATGATTATTGATAAACTAAATGAGAATTCTACTCCAGAAAAAACAGATGAGAGCTCCTCAACAACCTCACCACCCTCTTATGACAGTGTAACAAAGCCAGAAAAAGAGAAATATGAAAAAAACAAAGCAGTAAAAGACTACAAAGGCAAAGACATCAGGGAAAGTAAAAAGTAAAATACTAAAAATTCTGTTTGTAGGTCACCTTGTTTACAGCCTTTGAAAGTAATGTATCTGTGTCAACAGGACTCCTGTAGGAGGTTTATGCCAAACTGACTGTTTTTACATATATATATGTATATACACATTATATATATACTTATGGTCAGTGCCTATAACAAGACAGTGACCCATCGTCATCAACCTGTAAGTCTAAAACAGGGTAACATACTTGATAGGTGGTTACTGTTTTCATTACAGCTGACACTGCTGAAGAAGAAAGACACAATGGTTCTTTACATCATAGGAGCCCTGAAAGGTGTGCAAAGCTACATTTTTTGCGTTTTTGACATACTGAAAAACACCTAGTATGGTAACTCTATCCACTGTTTGTAATTCAACTGCCACATTTGCCATATTTTTACAAAACCAGTGTTAGTGAATTTTTGATTTTTTTTAATCCACAGGTTGTTTAATATTATATGTGACTATTTTTGTAAATGGGTTTTATGTTGGGGGAGGGGGTATGAGGGCTGGGTGTTTTACTCTCCGATTCTCTATAATGTACAGACAAAGTGATTTGCATGGAGGCATGCTGCACTTGTAGATTGTGCCTGGAAAAAAAACCATGACACGATGCAAAGCAACAAGAGTTTTAACTACTTCCATCTTTCTGGGTGGCTCTAAAATTTGAAGTGCTTAATGATTTGTGTTGTCACATTCAGACTAATCTTTATGTGCCTGCAAAGTATCTTGTAATTTACAAGAATTTACAGATGAATTATTTTTATGCAAATCATGAAATATAAGCAAGTGCAAACTTCATCCCAATTTCCAGTCACCTAGTCTTTGTTTTTAATCAAATGTTGTTCAGAAACAAAACACTGTATTGTATTTGTCTTGGAAAAGTAATTTAATCAAATAAGTAATTTTTTTAAAGGTTTATATTTTATTGAAATTGTTTAGCCCCTTTTTACTCTCAGTAAGCTTGACAACTAATGAAATAACAAAATGCCCCCTGTTGTGTAAATACTTATTTTACACTTTTGTACATATTTGAATATACACATAACTGGCTGTGCCACAGCATATTGCAACAAATATGTACCAAAGTATGTGTAGATTCCAAGCTCTCAACCAGTAACTTCTTATATTCTGTATCATTATAGATAGTTTGGAGAGTACCACTGATGCATGTCAATACTTTCGCTGCTGTATCTTGCTCCTTCCACTGTCCAGAGTCTCTGCTATAGGAAGCCATGTCAGTGATAAAGTGAATCAAATTGTTTGACAAGACCTCATTCCTTCATATCATTAAGCAATAGTTTGAAGTTATTTATGAGCTTCTTTAGTTTTGCATTTTAAATTTTAAGTGGCTATTATATGGTATAGAATCAAAATGTATAGGGCATACTGCAAATTGCTTAACCTGTTGAAATGTGGTTAGCATATATAAATAATGTAAAAAAAAAATCATATTATTGGCAGCATTTTGTATATAAGGTAACTGTCATCAGGCTTACACCTCTGTTTAAGTTACTTCCCATATCACTCTGTTTACTTTCTGTCCATGATAACATTCAGTTGAGATCTTCACAATATAAGAAATAAAGAAAATAAGTACTAATAGGCTATTTTGTTTTAATATTATATTTGCAAATATTTAATTTGTAAAGTGTGTAAAACTGGAACACCAGTTTATTAGTTACCATACAAACATATCTGGTAATTAGGGATGGTGGAGAAACTGTTAGGGGGACAACTGAATTTCTAGCACTACTTGCATCAGAAGTTTCACGATAGTCTTACTGGGCATTTATACATCTGCTGAGGGGGCAGGGGGGAGGTGGGGGAGTACTTTAATTAGAGCAGCTTTGAGAGCCATCGTAATTAAAGCCCCTAGAACATCTCATACATCAGCGTCTCTGTGCTTCAAAATGGCAGTGGGGCTACTTTATCTGAAGCTTGTTGAACCACATTACCATGCTCCAGAAGACTTGATTGATCAAGTCTGCTTAGATGGGCTGTAATTACAGAGCATCGGAGCAGCCTTGATGCTCGTGTACAGATACCCGTTTTTCACAGAAACCTTGTTATTTCGCAGTATTTGTTTATATAGGCTATTCTTATTCTTTTTAATTCATACTGTGCTAGACCTGCTCAAGCATAGGATGGAATCTGCAATATTTTCCTGAGAAAAAAGGGCACACTTGTATAATCAAACTCATCACCACATTTTGTGTATCATTCACAAGCTAAAGATAAATGTAGACTCTTCCTTACTAATGCTTTTAACTTGTAATGTGTTGATGGACTGCATGCAGGAAATTGCTACTACCATAAAAAACATAACCTACATTATAACTGAGCCAAAAGAATAAACATTTGTTTTTTATTGTATTTATTTCCTTTGATTCTCTGCTTTTATTGCTTAAGGAATGATAAAGTGATTAACTGCTTTTGATCAGGAATGTGTTCTTGATATTCAAAGTTAAATGCCTTAATCTTTATACATTAAAAATATCATCTGCATATATAAGGAAAAAATAGCAGACAACAATATATTAAAAGGTTTAGAACCTTTTACTAATGTGTGACACACCTTGCAACCTAGCTGAAGTCGTAAGCCCACACTCACCTCTAGCCGTTCCAGCAAGGGTGAGCAGAGGCTCCAGTGAGGAAGAGCACCCCTCTGCTGCAGGCTGGAGGCTATTGGTGTGCCATTAGGAAAACACAGACAGGTTCAAACAACTGGAGACTAGCACACCCTTAATAAAATGCAGCCCAGGTCAGACCCCTATGGCCCTTTTCAGTCTGGATCCAACCCAAGGGCCATAGGTCGCTGACCCCTGACAATGAAAGACCCAATATAAATGTTAAGCTAAACAGTTACATTTTATAAAGGAATAAGTATCCAAACACTGGGGTTTATAACAAAAAACTATTAGTCCACCTTGACTGTAGATATTGTTTCCATCTCAGTCTACTGAATAGTTGGATGGGTCCCTAATATTCTGATTATAATATTTCTCCTTAGTATACACAATGCCATATAGCTATACACTAATTTATGCATTGATATGCCTCGATTCTGTCCACAAAACCAAAAACAATTTCTTGAAAAAGCTTAAAAATATAAACAAACTTCTCTATAATAACAACCCACTGCTGAGGAATCCCATAATTGTAGCTTAGAAGACCCGATCTTTTATTGTCTGATTTTAAGAACTAAGATTGTAAGATTCCCAAAATGAAGCTAGTGCTTATGAGAGAAATCAATGCCCTGCCTATGCCTCCAAGATCTTATAAACAAGGGAGTAGATCAAAATGATCAACTGCACAAAAAACTGGTCAGAGATTGATAAATAAAATCACAATAATATTGGGCTCTTATGTAATGTCTTTCACATTATTCTGTGTACCTTGTCAGTGTCAGGAACTAGTGTCCTATCAACTTCTGATTTCCTTCTGATTTGAAATTTAGCACTGGCAGAGGTAGAATGTTAGATTTGCTATTTGGTTGATATTAGCAAGTGGTAGAAAGTCAGCAGACTTGCAAGATGACTTGCTACCACTTACTAATGTCAGCCAAATAGTAGACCTACTATATTTTGATATCTGAAGACTACTCAGGGAAGCCTGTGGTATGATGGTTTATTTAAACAGTTATCTACAGAAAGTTACCTAGAAAAAAGTTAAAGTATGTCAACATACTGCGAAACACCAACAGTTGACTGCTGGAAAGGAACACTATATAAAAAACAAATCACAGAACAGCATAATACCCTAGGGATACAGTTGTGAGTGGAGAGTAATATTACCAATTTGAGGTACTGTCTAGATCCCATTTTAGAAGGGAACTTCAGACTTACCTGCTGAGGTATCAAATACTAATGAAAGATGGTATAAAAAATAATTCATGAACCTATCATGTAAGTTTTGGCGAGACACTGGAACACATCTAGACATATCCTGAAAGGCAGTTAATACTAATCAATTATCTAAACAGAGTAAAATTAGACTCCTTCCTTTCCCTTTGCAGCAGCAGCCCTCACTATTGTGGGGTGGGAGAAAAAGAGGAGGACTTCAGGATATGAAATGTTTAGCTTACAGACAAGAAATTACAAAATAGGAGAAAAAATTACAAAATACATCTCAAAAAACTGCAAATGGGAAATATTGATAGAAATGGAGATGTACCCATTTTTGAAGTAAGGAAGATCCTGGAACTGACAGATAGAACTGTCCTAAACAAATCTAAACAACAATATTTTGAACCAACAGAGTTGTTGCCCAACTACAGACCAAGAATGGCATGGCTTGGACAGTTTGATATCTTTGAAATAATAAAATTAAGCAACGTTACAAGGGTGTAGGTTGTAGCTGTGTTGGTCTAAGGACATAGGCAGACAAGGTTCTTTGGGTTTATCTGATATCTTTTATTAAACCAACTTAAATAGTTGGAAAAAAATATAATATAAAAAAAACCAAGTAATTCATTTTCAATTATCGGTAAGTTTGAGCACAGACCATCATGTCAGCACAGAAAGGGTAACCTCTACTACTACTGAGGGAACCCAATGGCTTAATTGTAATAGGCATTCATTCTTGTACAAATTGCTGAAATTTGGCCCTTATTAGAATGGGCATTTTTTGAAACCATATAGTAGCATTTGACAGGCAAAGCAGATGCAAAGATTTAATGGGAATTCCTGCTCTAAAACCTAGAATGAAGTTAATGCTTAAATCCTACTATTTCAAATTTAGAAGACAGTTAATCTGTACAACAAAATTGACTTTTAAGATTTTTGACAAAAATAGATTATGTAGTTTAAGCATAACTTTAAACTCATGGCTTGAATTGAGAATTGTCTCATTATTAAGAGTTTGGACCTTAAGATCAGTAATGAGTTGCGTATAACAAAAAAAGAAAAAGGCAAAACAATAGAGCATTAAGCATTTGAGGGAAGGCACCCTTAATATGAACAGTGATGTTTGAAATCTTTTTATAAAACTGTTTCAGATGTTTTTCTGAACTCTTACACAGAAACAGTAACATCTAAAAATAAAATTTGATAAAAGATTAGTGCATGATGAAGCCCCATATGTATTCGCATTAAAATCCAAGCTCAAAGGCAGGTAAT